TTTTGGTGGGGGTAGGAGTCTCACTCTGTTAGCAAGGTTAGAATACAGGGGCCCTCTCACGGCCACTGCAGCCTTGGCCTCCTGGGCTCAGGTGATCCTTCCAAGTAGTTGGAACTATAGGCACGCCACCACACCTGGCTAATTTTTTGATTTATTGTAGAGATGAGGTCTCCCCAAGTTGCCCAGGATGGTCTCAAACCTGTGGGCTCAGGTACTTCTCTTGCCTCCACCTCCCAAGGTGCTGGGAGTATAAGTGTGAGCCACTGCACCTGGCTAAAAATTTCATTTTCTTTTATTTATTTATTTATTTTTGAGTCGGAGTCTCACTCTGTCACCCAGACTGAAGTGCAGTGGCCACTCCCGGCCACCGCAGCCTTGACCTGCTGGGCTCCGGCGATCCTTCCGCCTCAGCCTTCCAAGTAGCTGGAACTACAGGCGCGCGCTACCACACCCGGCTAATTTTTGATTTATTGTAGAGATGAGGTCTCACCAAGTTGCCCACACGGGTCTCAAATCTGCGGGCTCAGGCATTCCACTCACCTCAGCCTCCCAAGGCACAGGATTACAGGCTGAGCCACCAAGCCCGGCTAAATTTCATTTTCTTAAAACAAGAACATCTGGTATGTCCGATTAAAACTAGACTTGAAAAGATTGATAATGTCCTCAAAGACACCAACTTAACCAGCATTGGAAAGACAGTGACCGTTTTCATGAACACACTGTGTAAACTAGTTGAAATTCTCATTTCTGTGTGTATCACAGCATTTCACAAACTGTGACCAGCCTTTAATGTTCATTACATCCTCATAACGCCACATGAGTTTGGCAGAGAAAGAATGGAGAAACTGAGACCCAGAAGGGTTTTCTAAGAATGCTGAGTGGATAAGTAGGTGGCCCAGCTAAAACCAGAACCCTGGGTTATCTTCATTTCACTCATGAGACAAACTGGAGGCAGCTCAAGTGGATAGAGTGTTTCAGTGCAGTGACTTTGTCTTTGAGCCCCTCTGCCTGTGAGCTCAAGGAAATTATGAAGTAGTCATTTGGCCAATGTCATTCAAGCCTAACCTTTATGGGTCTGTAGGTTTCTCACTACAGGGTGCTGTGTCAAGGCAGCTGCCCTGGCCCCTGGCCATGCCTGTGGTCTGCCAGGTTTTGACTTGATTCACATGGCTCCAAGGTATGTTTATTCCAAGTGCCAAGACACAGAGTAGGATTGATTTGTTTGATTATTCATTTATTTGCTCAAACGTTTGAGCACCTTCCTTGTGAAAACATAAACATAAGTCAGATATGGCTGTGGTCATCAAAGAACTGATGATGTCTTAGAGGAAGTAAGACATGTATGTAAATGAGATCACATGATAGAAAGGTACTAGGGTTGAAAGACACTCATAAGTGTGAGTACCAGTAGTTCAGTAGAAGGAGAACTGGCTTCCTCCAGGGAGACCAGGAAGGCTTCACGAAAACGGCATCTGAAGATAAGAAGAGGGTACAGGGAAAAATTGGTTGGAGTCAGATCATGGAAGATCTTAATTGCCTAGAGGTGAAGTTTATCTATAGGCTCAGAGGAGATTTTGGTATCTCTGAGCTTGAGAAGGTGCAGGATCCGTGTTTCAAGGAGTTTCATTTAGGCTTAGCACAAGATGGTGTGGAGGTGGGAGACTGGAGCAAGGAGCCCTGTCAGGAGACTATGTAGTAGTTATGTGTCTGCACTGCTCACCCCTAGTGCTGGCAGACACTGTCAAAGCACGAGATTGTCTTGTTATCCCTCCTCCCCCAGCCTCCTAACCCCAGCTCCAGCACCTCCCACCTTCTCTACATTGGCTACCTCTACATTGGCTGCCTCTACTGTTTGGTTTCTACTCTTTCCTCAACCCACCACCATCTGGCCTCCACCCCTTCCACACCACTGAAACTGCTCTCATGAGGTCAGCTGTGCATTTCTAGAGCTAATCCAATACGCGATTTCCCAGTGTCATCTTGCCTTACCCCTCTCAGTAGTTGACTTTTTCCTCTCTTTGAAATTCTTTCCTGGCCAGGTGTGGTGGCTCAGCCTATAATCCCAGCACTTTGGGAGGCCGAGGCAAGAGAATTGCCTGAGCCTTGGGGTTTGAGACCAACCTGGGTAACTTGGTGAGACCTTGTCTCTATAATAAATCAAAAAATAAGCTGGGCGTGGTAGCACATGCCTGTAGTTCCAGCTACTTGGAAGGTTGAGGCAGAAGGATTGCCTAAGCCCAGCAGGTCAGGGCTGCAGTGACTGAGCGTGCCACTGCACTCCAGCCTGGGCGACAGAGTGAGACTCCAACCCCCCCCCCAAAAAAGAAATTCTTTCCTCCCCTGGCCTTTGACACCACAAGTACCATTTGCTCTTATCTCTCTGCCCATTCCTTTTCAGCCCCATCACGGGGTCATTTAATGTTGGTGTATCCAACATGCCATCACTGGCTTGCTTCTTAGACATCTTATCATTCCTGTTTGTTCACTTGTCCATTCATTCATTTAATAGGTATTTATTGAGCACTTACCATTTGCTAGGCACTGATATTCACAGTAAGCAAAAGACAGTCCTGGCTGGGCACAATGGCTCATGCCTGTAATCCTAGTACTTTGGGAAGCCAAGGCAAGAGGATTGCTTGAGCCCAGGAATTTGAAACCAGCCTGGGCAACATAAAGAAACCCTGTCTCTACCAAAAAAATCAAAACATTAGCTGGATGTGGTAATGTGTGCCTGTAGTCCCAGCTACTCAGGAGGCTGGGGCAGAGGGATTGCCTGAGCACAGGTGATTGAGGCTGAGGCTGAGGCTGTAGTGAACTATGATTGTGCCACTGCACTCCAGCCTGAGTGACAGAGTGAGACTCTGACTCAAAAAAAAAAAAAAAGAAAAGAAAAGACAATCCTTGGCCAGGCATGGTGGCTCACACCTATAATTTTAGCATTTTGGGAGGCTGAGGTAGGAGGAAGATCACTTGAGGCCAGGAGGTTGAGGCTGCAGTAAGCTGTGGTGGTGCCACTACACTTCAGCCTGGGTGACAGAACCAGACCCTGTCTCAAAAAAAAAAAAAAAAAAGAGAGACAGTCCTTGTCCTCATGAAGCTAACATCCTAGTTTAGGGAGACAGGCAATAAATAGGAAGTCATATGGTGATAAGCCTCAAAGAGGAGAAACTAAAGAAAAGGTTGGCGTAGGGCTAACCCTCATGTTGACATAGCAGATGTTTTAATGAGTTGCCTTTTTTTTTTTTTTTTGGTCAGTCTCACTCTGTTGCCCAGGCTGGAGTGCAGTGGCACACTGACAGTCACTGCAGCTTCGATCCTTCCGCCTCAGCCTTCCAAGTAGCTGGAACTACAGGTGTGGGCCATCAAGCCTGACTAATTTTTTGATTTATTGTATAGATGAGGTCCTGCCAAGTTGCCCAGGCTGATCTCGAACCCATGGGTTTAGGCAATCCTCTCACTTTGGCCTTCCAAAGTGCTGGGATTGTAGGTGTGAGCCACCACACCCAGCCACGAGTTGCCTTAAAGCAGAAACCTTCAGAGAGTGAGAAAGCAAACTATATAGATATCAGGGAGAAACATTCCAGGTAGAGGGAAGAGCAAAGTGCACTATCACACTTAGTGACCTCAAGGAACCATGAGGATGCTGATGTGGCTCGAGTGGGCGGAGCCAGGCAGAGAATGGGAGGATGAGGGCTGAGAAGTAGGTGAGGGCAAGCCAGGTGGGGCCTTGAAGGCTATGGGAAGGCTTTTGGGTTGTACTCTGAGATGGGAACCCATTGGAGGGTCTTAGGAGAGAGTGACTTAAAATGACTTATACGTTTAAAGGATCTCCCTGGGTACTGCATGGGAAATA